AAATATGATTAAAATCATATGCTGGTGGATTGATAGCAGTATTTGGCAGCACTATCTCTATGAAAAGACATTTTCAACAATGAAATACATAAACTCTCATTACAGATAGCATTAACAGATGAATATTTGCAATCAATTTCGATGATAAGAAATATTGAACTCCAATAGACTTGAGACTTTGAACCCGAATTAAGCAAAATGTTACCCCACTCCCCAAAACGAGAATTCCATTCTTCTTCTTAGTAGACCTGTAGTACAAAACATTATTTTGTGGTACTCAAAATAATCTGACTACTGTAGTACTCAATTATTGTTATTATTATATTTGTTTCATCAATTACAAAGTGTATAGAAATTTGTTTTTTGTCTTGGTATATAAGTACCTGCCTAATATCCTTGAGCTTTCCTCTTGGCCCACAAAGCTTCAATAATTATTTCTGGATGTTTACAGAAAAAATTTGCTGACCTCTGATCTAAATGAAGTTAATTTGAATTCTGGTTCCATCAGCCGTACTCAGAGGAAACTGATGGTAGGAAAAAGCTACAGGAGGCCACAGACCACAGACCGCTGGAGTTGGGATAGTCGCTGTTTTGAGGACTACCGAGATTGGCTGAAAGGGTCATATCTGAGATTTTCTTCTCCTCAAAGAAAGCAGAGGCTAGCATGAGGGCTGATCTCCAACAGTCCGAATTAGCCAGGGATTTTTGAGAGTCTTTGGCTAAAAGACCCTTAGGAAAGACTGGACCACAGTTGAGTTCTTTAAATTGCACAAACAAAGAAACAGAACATTATTTTAATTCCCAAAGTTGCTAAAACCAGACCTTGATTATGCATACATGCAAAAAATTCTGAGGGGTGCCTGCCAACATGTTAATATTGGTTCACCCTGGGTCATGGGATTGAAAGTTATTTTACTATTTTTCTTTTCTCTAATCTTTTTTTCTCTGATTTTTTAACATTATTATTTGTTATTTTACTCTTTTACTTATCTTCTTTCCCTCATGTTTCAACAGTGACTAGATTTTATATATTTTGAAATTCCATACTTTAAAAAAATTGTTTAAAGAGTATTTTCTTATTTATTAATGTTTCAAAATCGTGGGAGAAGACAAATGTTTCCTATTTATTTTCAGATTACTTATAAGAAAAAAGTTGTAGTTGGGAAGAAAAGAAGATCACTAGGCTAATTATTTTTCATTTCCTGCAAACATTTTATTTCATTTTATTTCTTCAAGAAAATAAGATTTTAAGAAGTTAAAGGAATGTCTACTTAAAGACAAGGAAATAATATTTTAGGTAATTGAATATACCCATATCATTAACCAACACAGAAAACACTATTATTGCTAAAAGAAATATGAGATTGTTTTTTCTTAAAAAATAAAGTATATTTTAAGACAGTCTAGAAAAAAGAAATTAATAGGATTCTTGTTATAACATAAAAGAACCTCTTCTGGGGCTGGCCCCGTGGCCGAGTGGTTAAGTTCGCGCACTCTGCTGCAGGCGGCCTAGTGTTTCGTTGGTTCGAATCCTGGGCGTGGACATGACACTGCTCATCAAACCACGCTGAGGCAGCGTCCCACATGCCACAACTAGAAGGACCCACAACGAAGAATATACAAGTATGTACTGGGGGGCTTTGGGGAGAAAAAGGAAAAAAAAATAAATAAATAAAAAGAACCACTTCTTTCATAGAATGCAAAATTATTTTTGTGTGCGCCTTTAGAAAATGTCTTATATTTTAAAAGTCTAATCCATTTACATTATCTCAGCACGTTCGCACCTTGAGAGTTAATGAAGTTTATGATTTCATGATGTGTCAAATGCCTTTGACGTGCTAACACAATTATACGTATGTAGCTGTGAGCCTGAGACAGTATCAGGTTCTGAAAGAAATCAGTTGTCCTAGACATCTAGCGGCAGGGCTGGGGTAATCGCGCTGTCACCCCCCAGGATACTGAGACGCTATCATTTCTCCTTCTGATAACTTTCTGTTTGTTTCCATAGAGTTATATATTTACAGAGAGACTGTATATTTGCTCTCAACATATGTTTGTGTTTGTTTACTCGGTTGACATAGAGAATACAGAAATTTTGGATAACATCAGTGTTAAGAGATGACATTGACCAATGTGAATATCATTAAAGCACACTGGACGTGCCAAATAAACAGCATGTATGAAGTCACAAGTTTACTTTTTCTGCAACTAAAGTCAAACTTTTCTTCTCTTCTTATTAGCTTCCAATATTTTCAGAAAGAAAGAAAGAAGACCTAGAGAAAATCAGAACAAGGACTATTAAAATAGTTTTTCACTTCATTTCCCAACATCTTAGAAAAAAGACTTGGCCTTTGTTCAGAGCAGTGTGAAAAGATTATGTTCCGTCTGAACATAACCAGGCCAGGAAAATAACCACTTTGCACTTGTTTGCAAGCTCGTAATCAAAGAGATGATATTTACCATTCCTAAGTTCTTCAAAGATATGGAGGATAAAGAAAGACTTTTAAAATAATCTCTTTAGAAGAAATTTTTCTGTGAAGGAAGCCCAGAATCACCAGCATTTGCGTTCTGCCAGCATATCTCTGGGAGGTGCGTTAGGATTAAACCTCCTCTAATCACCAATTGTTAGCTGTCAAAGGTGGGCTTTGAACTAACGAGTTCAAACACAGAGTTTGCTCATGTATGAGAACAGAAAAAAACGCGATCAAGTCAAATCTAGTCTTTATCACTTGTCTGGCAATCAATCACAGGTCTTCCATGGGAAGCCATTTGTTTTACATACAAAGCCTTTGCTTTGATACAGTTTACACAAATACAAGATGCGCATGGAAAACAGCCTGTCTTCCTTCATTTTCTTGGTTTCCTAATTTTTAAAAAGTAGCTCACTTTTCTTAAAAATGTAACTTCTTTATCACATTTTGTGTCATTATTTTACAAATTAAATCTTTCCTTTCTGTTAAAAGATGCAATAATAAAATCACATCATAGTCACAGAAAGAAGGCTTTCCTGAGGATGAGAAATATGTACCAAATTCCATTTGCTTATTAAATATTGTGCTATGCTTCATAACACATCTAAAGACATTTAGCTTATCCAGTAATTATTTCTCAGGGTAACTTTTGGAATATAGAGATTAAATAGTCATTTGCGCTAAATAGTAAAAAGAAGGTTATAAATCTTAAGTAGGTTTAGCTTCTAATTTAAAATCGTCACTTTTAAAAGACCTTTAAGGTCAAATTTGCCATCGTGGGAGCAGTCTCCCCAGGTAGCAGGAAAGACGAGCCTGTTAAAGCAGTAAGAGCGGAGGACAGAGGAGAGTAGGCTCAGGACAGAGGAACCCCTTGCCTGGGGTACATTTTGTTCAGTGGACTCAAGGGGAAGCGGGGTACAAAGTTGATGATCTGGTCCCCTGGTAGTAGAAATTCACTTGGCAAAGTTTTTATAAAACCAGAACTGGTAAAGCCTTCCCCTTTATCTCTCCCTGCATCCAACCAGTTACTAAATCCAGGAGGTTCTATCTTAAAAATTTCTCTTGGACACATTGAACAAATCTATAATATACTAATTAATGCATGGATGAGTGAATGAATGAATGAATGAATAAAGCACAGCAGCAAAATGTCTTTTGATTCACTGCCTCTCAGATGAGATGCTGCGTCCTGATTTCTGGGAGATCTCTGTTCACACACAACAATGTGCCATTCAGCGGGTGGATCTAACAACCAGCCTGCAGTTCTAGAAAGGGAAGATAGTTTGAATGAGGCCCAATAGCAAGGCCTTCATTTAAAGAACAAGTAGGTACTCAGGCAAATTGGGACAGAAGACAATAGTGAAACTCACAAACTAGTTAGTAAACACAGCTTATCCCTGGCACACAAAACGTCACATCTTGCTGGTGACGTGACATGACTTCATGTTAAGTGTCACCCACTGGTGGGCTGAGCTTCCTGGAAAACTTCCTAATCTACCTTGATTATCTCTCTAGGTCTGCATGTGGCCAATAAGGGACAGAGTGGCAGGGGAGGGAAGGAAAAAGCAGAAGATGCAAGACAGAAGCCAATCAAATTAATCTAATTTCAGCCAGTCTTCTAGCTTTTAGAGTATCTTAGGCTAAGTTTTTTAATTATTATGCACTTATTACTATTATTACTATATTTTATAATTTCCTAAGCTTCTATGGAATTTATATTGGCATATAAGTCTTTTCCTTTTTTTTCTTTGGACACACAACTAATTTGTTGAGCATGTGACCACATGAAAACTGCCAAGTGACTATCTTTTTTTTTTTTTGAGGAAGATTAGCCCTGAGCTAACTACTGCCAATCCTCCTCTTTTTGCTGAGGAAGACTGGCCCTGAGCTAACATCCGTGCCCATCTTCCTCTACTTTATATGTGGGACGCCTACCACAGCGTGGCGTGCCAAGCCATGCCATGTCCACACCCAGGATCCAAACCGGCAAACCCTGGGCTGCCGAGAAGCAGAACATGCAAACTTAACCGCTGTGCCACCGGGCCGGCCCCCTATCTTTTTTTTAAAGTTCTTGAGATCTTCTATTCAGCTGAAAGTGAGAAGTAGGGAATCTTTCTTCACAAAACTTTCACATGAGTTGCAAGCTCAAGGGGTTTGGATAATTCAGATATACGCCCAAACATATGGGTGCTTGGCAAATTCAAGCCCTGTTTTAGTTTTTCTCTTTAGTTTTTATGGTATCAGTTACAGAAAACTGTCCAACCTCCAGGCAGGGCCTGGATAATTCTCATATTTCTATCAGCTGGAAGTTAGAAAAAGAAACACATTCCATATGAAACACATTTTTGAAAGACAAGTATGCAGAAATATTCTCTCTAATGACATCGATTTTATACAGACAATTTCCCTAAGAAAGGTAAAGTAAGTTTTGTTGTGGGGGAGGGAATGTGGGCCACCTAGTGTGACATGCATGATAATGTTCTTTCTAGTTTACTTCATAACGCTGTGTTTTGGTAAAAAAATGTTTACCTTGATTCCGGGTTTCTCATCTTGTCTGCCTCTTCCTGGCTTGGCTTTAGCTTTTAAAATAAAATAAAAATAAATGAAGGCAGAGAACAATTTTTACAAGCAAGTGTCTATGCAAGAAATAACTGGAGTCTCATAAAGATTTATCTTTTTTTGATTTGTTGCAATTTGAGATGCAATAAAAACGTTTAAGGCAAGGTTTGCATCATTCCATTAGTCTAAATAAGTACAGTACTTTCCTACCTATCTTCGTCGATGGAACTTATCCACTTTTAAATATTAGTACGCTAAGAATTTTAAAATCTTAGTGCTGCCAGCGTCTGCTAGAAGTCTCCTTATGTGTTTTTCAGAGGGACAGAGACTGCACGGAGAAAACTTGGCATCGCTTCTAATGCTACCAAATTAGATAATGTGTGACAGGATGTCTAATTTCTCAACAAATACTGTTTCAACAAATACCAGATTTGAAGATAATCCCACTGAAATCTGAAGTTCAATATTCCATATCAGATAGAAGATTGCACATAAAGTTTTGATTTCAAAAATCTGTAACGTTTTAGCTTCAAACACATTTTATAGGCTAAGACTTAAACACACTTTGGGTGCTTAAGATTAAGTTATGGAAAGCAGCATGCTGAGTTTTAATTTTTCCAAGTAAGCATATACTCAGCAAATACTAACCAAACTACCAAGAACATAGTCTGTTTCCCTGACATGTATTATGTTTTTAAATCAAAGACATTGTAGGCAAAATTATGACAATAGTATTAGAAATCAATTAACATGACAAGCTAATATTTAGTAGTTTTCTGAAAGGTCTATGTTTTTACAAACATTTTTATAAGTAGATATTTTAAAACTGAAAAAAATCTTACTTGTATCCTAAGAAGAAGTTGAACGGTCTATGAAACTTGTTAAGTCTTTCGAAACCAGAAGTTTTTTAGCTAAAAAAACCCATGACACTCGAGGCCATTCCTTCCAACTGAGCCACTGACTCAGGGGCAGAGCTTGGCATTTAAATGTCAGTGAAGACATAGCCTTCTAACTGTAATCCTTATTTTCATGATACAGTCTCATATTTTGGATACTCCCATTCTTACGAAATTCAAATCGTGTTTACTTATCAGAATCTGGGAGCTCCTTATGTACAAATAATTTGTAATTCATCTTTGTATCTCCCCAAGGATCGCCAAATGGCAGGGGCTAATCCAATGTTTATTGAGTTGAATTCATCTAAACTGGGCTTTCTTCTCTCCTAAAAATTTTACCCTGCGACTCCATCTTGTCTTCCGTGTGGTGTGTCTCTGTATTAGACTACTGCTTACTGCGTTTTGCATCACTTAACGGGAGCAAGATAGCACTAAAATTGCCTACTTGATTCTGAGCCTTAGGTGAATAAACGGCAAAATTTTGGAGAGCTCCTCAAAGGGGTGGGAAGCAGAAGGAATGCGCTGTCAGGCATTTTTCTGTCGTCTGGGGGATTTGGTGGAGGAGAAGATAACACAGTTTTAGAAGTAAAATGGGCCTGTTTTCAAACTCTTGCTATTTCCTAGGACAAATGACAACTGTTCATTGACCTTTGGTTTATCATATGCAAAATGGGAAGAACAAAGTTTACTCTTAGGGACATTAGGAAGGTAAAGTAAGATGCTATATGTAAAGCATTAAGGATAACTCCAAACACACAAATGGTAGCTATTAAAATTTGAACCAGAAAGATTATGGTGTTACAAAATGAGAAATTTCTTTTTAGGTCACATTCCTAGCTAGAAGTGACTCACTCTGTCAAAAGAATTTAAAGTGCCCCGTTTCTCCTCGCAATATGTGAAGAAAGCTGACCCCATCCAGAGAATTCAGCTAACAAAGAGAAGACTGTCGAGTGCTCCACCATCACATACAGCAGCTCCCTGCCCCTCCCAGGGTTGATGAGCTATGTCAGGGGCTGCATTTCTGAGAAACATGTTAGAAGCAAGCAGCGCCAGTTAGAATCAGTCAGTAAAGATAAAGTCCTTAGAAACCTCTCTGACAAAACACAGAGTCACACGTTGGCTTGTAAAATAAAATCCAACTATAAAACCAGGAGACCAAAAATAAAATGACATAGGATCAACAGAAATAAAAAAAATGGACAGGCACCAGCCCATTGGCATAGTGGTTAAGTTCAGATGTTCGTTTCCGGAGCCCAGGGTTCACAGGTTCCAGTCCCAGACGCAGACCTAGTACCACGTGTCAAGCCATGCTGTGGCAGCATCCCACATAAAGTAGAGGAAGATAGGCACAGATGTTAGCTCAGCAACAATCTACCTCAGTCAAAAAGAGGAAGATTGGCAACATATGTTAACTTAGGGCCACTCTTCCTCACCAAAAAAAAAGATGGACAGACAAAAATTCAGGTGTTGGATACAAAACTAAAGGAAATCTCAAAGTATAATTAAATGTGAAAGGCATCTCCCTTCTAGGAGGTGGGACTTAATCTACCCTCACTCTTTTTTCTAAATGTAGATGCTTTTAATGATTTATTTCCAAATAATAAAATCAGGAAAGGTGGGAGGTGGGGGAGTGACTTTACAGTGGAGAACGCTGGCAAAAACTGCTTCAGCCACATGATGGAGGTCCACATCAGCAGTGATAACTCACGTCAATGGCACGTGCTTGTGATATAACGTAATGAAGAAGGGCCCTTCACCTCTATGACGGTCTTCCCTAAAATGCATAACTCCAGTCTAAATAGGAGAAAGGTGGTCTAGTGGTTAAGATCTAGCACTCTCACAGTTGGCCCGGGTTCATTTCCTGGTCAGGGAACCACATACCCATTTGTCAGTTGTCACACTGTGGTGCCTGCGTGGTGCTGTGACGCTGAATGCTACACCGCCAGTATTTCAAATACCAGCAGGGTCACCCACAGTGGACAAGTTTCAGCAGAGCTTCCAGAATAGGACAGACTAGGAAGAAGGACCTGGACACCCACTTCTGAAAAAACTGGCCTTGAAAACCTTATGAATAGCAGCAGAGAATTGTCTGATACAGCACCCGATGGTGAGAGGATGGTGCAAAAAGACTGGACAGATTTCCCCTCTGCTGTACCCAGGATCACTAGGACTCAGAATTAGTTCAACTGGCACTAACAACAAAATCATAAGGAAGGCATCAGACATACCCCACTTGAGGGACACTCTACATAATATGTGATCAGTGTTCCTTAAAACTGTCAAGATCACAAAAAACAAAGAAAGATGGGGAAACTGTCATAGACCAGAGAAGATTACAGGAGCACAACAACTAAATATAATCTCTTACGTTGGGTGAGATCTTGGAAGAGAAAAAAAATTAGAGAAAAAACTTGTGAAATCTGGGTAAACTCTAAGATTAAGTTAGTAGTAACATGCCACTGTTGATTTCGTAGTGTGACAAATGTGTCGTGGTAATGTAAAATGTTAATAATAGAAGAAACTGGGTTAGGGGTATCATCTTTATAATGTTTCTATAAATCTAAAACTATCAAATCAAGAGATTATTTCAAGTAACTCTGAGTTTTGGATTTTTTGGGGAATATTTGCCCTGAGCTAACATCTGTCGCCAATCTTCACTTTTTTCTTCTCCCAAACGCCCCCCAGTACATAGTTATGTATCCTAGTTGTAGGGCTTTCTGGTTGTGCTATGTGGGACGCCACCTCAGCATGGCTTGATGAGCAGTGCTAGGTCCATGCCCAGGATCCGAACCGATGAACCCCAGGCCACCAAAGTGGAGTGCACGAACTTAACCACTCAGCCATGGGGCGAGTCCCAAGAGATTACTTTTAAGAAAGGGAAAAGCATTTATCAATAAAGAGTTTTTTCACATGTTGAAAAATACACAATCCACAATGAAATTATAACAATAACAACAAACATGAGTATATAGCATCAAATTATAAGAAGCCAAAACTTAGAAATATAAGTGGTAGAAGACTTTTAAATCCTTCCTCAGACTTTGATCGCAACCGCAAAAAATTAAAAACTAAGATAATTGCAATAAAATATTTAATACAGTTGAATTAGGGTGTCATATCTGTATTAAAGCTTGCACGAGGATTAATCATATATGAGGCCATAAAGAAAACTATATATTCCCCAAAGTTGAGAGTGAATAGACAAAAGTAGCTGGCTACAATAAAATTAAACCACACACACAAAAATGAATGACAAACTACCAAAATCAAAAAAGAATCCAGTTTTAAAATATTCTCTGACGAAAATATGGATAAAAATAAATATCAAGATAGTAACACAGTTTATTTTGAAAATTAAAATAATAGAAACCTTGTATATCAAAACTCATAGGATATGTCTAGGGAAGCACTTACATAAGAATTCTATTTTAAATATATACTTTAAAAAATACATAGTGTTTTTAATATTGAAAAGAGACTGAAAGAATGTAAATGCACCCACTACACATTCAACTCCAAAAAGTCAGGGGAAAAATACAAAATAAACCCTAGGAAAGAAAATTTTAGATATTAAACCAGAAATACAGCATTTGAAAATCAGAAGACAGTAATATTAATAAGCAAACTCAAGATGTGAATCCTTAAAGAAAAATTGTAAACTTTTGTGAGTATAATCCAAAAGTAGGGTGAACATACAAAATCAGAAATGGGAAGAGGGATAAACAATGAATTTGGAGTGATTACCATGAGGATCTTTGGAGATGTGAATATCTCAATAACATGAAAGATTTTTTACACAATATAGGTTATTTAAATTCACTTAAACAGACATGGTATAACTTGAAAAATCTATAAATGTGACTGAACAGATCAGTAGGTTTCCTATATGTGACTCAACCTTTCCTTCTGGGCTATAACTAAGTCTAAGGTTGTAGGACTAAGTGTCTGACATGAAGGTGAGTGGGGCAGGTCCTTCTGTGGTCTTGGACTAAAGAGGATCTGGACCCCAAATAGCTGGTATAGGTGGGCTCTGAAGTATCAAGTCCTTGAGAACAAAAACTGGATCCAAATAAAAGGGTATGCAACATATAAAAGGCAAAATAGAGCTGAGGATTTGCTTGGCCAAGCCTAGAAAGATGGTCAAGGAGAGACCAAGCCATGGGTAGAGTGAGAGCTATTAATAGCTCAAGTCAGTTAGAGGTCAATATCAGTTAGAAGACATTATTACACATGGTTTTAATTAGAGAAAGAATCTCAAAGTAGTAGACAAGAAGTATATCTTTCTGCAAATGATGTTTCAAGGCATAATTAAATATTTAGAAAAACTATGGGTTGTATCTTCATCTTGCAAACACCACAATACTTCCAAATGGGTTAAATATGTGTATATGGGTTTGAACACATGTATGCATATACAACAATTAGGAGAGCTTTAAGTGAATAACTGACATGATCATAAGCACCAGAGTGATCAAGGAAATTAACAAAGCAAAGATCTATATGCTCACTGTATGCATTTTTGTCTTCATTCATATATTCAGTAAGTATTTATGAGTCCTAACTGAATTCCAAGCACTAGAAATACAAAGATTAGCAAAAACAGATAGAACCCTTGCCTTCACAGAGTTTACAATTTTGTGTGTGTATAGGAAAGCTAGGGGGAGGAGAAGTATCAAATATAAATTAAAGGATCATAGAATAAATGTAAGATTAAAAATATGATAGGCTATTTCAAGGGAGGTACATGGTGCTATGATAGCCTAAGATTTGTTCTAAATTGTGCGCTCAGGAAAGGCCTCCTTGGAGAAGCGATGATTGAGCTGCTATCTGAAGGATGAGGAGGAAAGATGTTGGTGAACTGGGAGTTGTTCATAAGAGTGTCCTCAGCCCTTGACCCTTGCTGTCAGTGTGGCCAACAGTTTTTTTTTTTTTTTTTTTTTTTTTGTTTGTTTGTTTTCAAAGGATTTATTGTTCATATTTACACCTATTGCAAATAGCGAGGAGGCAGCAAGGGCAGAGCCTCAGGCCTCATCCCTCATCTCTGTCCGGAGTTTGAGGACCATGGGATGTCTGATCTTAGTGTCCTCTGGGAGAGACCTGAGATGCAAAAGTTATTCTTCTCACCCATTTTCTCAGGGTCCTGGATCACCACTGTCCCAAGGATTCTGGTCTCAAGGGCTGCCTTCTCAGCTCAAGGCACAAACACTGTGGTTGGGGTGGACAGCCAAGGCAGGAGTCACTCCTGGCAGGCACCAGCTGACCCCGTCCATCTTCCTACCCCTGGTCCTTCTCTCCTTCTTTCTCTACTTGTCCCACACTGGGCAGATCCTGGCTTGGTGGACATTTATGCCCTAGATGTACGCCCGTAACTCCTGGACCACAGCCAGCCGTCCTTGGAGGCTGGAGTCTAAGCACCATCAGTGCCCTGTCCCTAGTCTTTCTATGAAGAATATATAGCCTTTTTGGTGAAGGAAAGGAAAGGAGGTCCATGGTACATTTGAGGAACTAAGAATATTGAAAATATTGAAGCAATCATCCAACATTTGAAAGATAGAAAAAAATAATTAATCCATTAATCAAAGATATTTTTACAGATGTAATCATGGAAGCTAGGTAGAAAAGGTGAGGGGGTATTTGGAATGCAGAGATCAAGGGTCAGAGAATGGAACCAGATAAGGCTGGAGAGGTAGGTGATGATCATGCAAGATGTCATAATTCAAGTTAAAAATATTTATTTTACCTTAAGAATAAAAGGGAAACATTAGACTTATGCAGAAGTCGTGGTGAGGAATGGGAGGCGGGAAATATAAGCAGGTTTTTATACTGAAAAGGATGATCTGGCTTCAATGTGCAAAGTGGGACATCAGCTAGAAGAACACCATAATAATCTAGGCAAGAATGTCTTGTAGTTTGAATGAAGGTTGCTGCAGTGAAGATGGAGAGAAGTTGATGGAAGCAAGAGAAACGTAGAAGGTATAATTGACAAGACTTTTTGATGGATTGGAAAATTGAAATCATCTGTTTGGTTTTAGACATGTTAAGTTTGAAGAGTATTTAATTTACTATTGCTGTGTAACAAATGAGCCTAAAATTTAAGTGACATAAAAAAATTTATATTTTCTTTTGCTCATAGATTTTGTGGGTCATTAATTCAGACAGGGCACAGCAAACATGTC